TTTTCTTCCAGTAGATTTAGTGTTTCAGTTTTAATATTTAGATCTGTGATCCATTTTGACTTTAGTTTAGTGCATGGTGAAAGACATGCGTCTAGTTTTAGTCTTTGGCATGTGGAAAGCCAGTTTTTATAGCACCATTTATTACCATACTGTTTTTAATCCCCATAACCTTGTAGTATAACTTGACGTGATGCCTCCTGCATCATTTTGTTGACCAGGATTGCATTTGCTATTCTAGTTTTTTTCTGGTTCCATATGAATTTTAGGATTTTTTCCTCTAGCTCTGTAAGGTATGCTGTTAGTATTTTAATTGGAATTGCATTAACTGTGTATCTGTTTTGGAAGTATGGCCAATTTGACTGTATTGGTTAGAGCAGATGCTTTTAGTAATAAGAGAATAGTACAAACAACTTTATAGCAATAGAACTGAAAAAATATGTAAATTATTTTCTATGAAAAATATAAAATTTCACAATGATCTAAGAAAATGTACAGAATCTATAATTGCAATGGCAGTCAAAGTGCCCCCCCCAAGGCACTATTGTCTAGGAAGTTGTATAGGTAAAGTTCTAAAACCTTCAAGAAACAGATAACTTCCAACTTTTATAAATTATTTCAAAGCATAGAAAATGATATAAAATTAACTAATTTATATAGTTAACCCTAGCACAAAAACAAATAAAAGACATGGAAAAATTATCAATTTAGTCCATAAATATAGATGTAAAAATCCTATACAAAATACTAGAAATTCTAATTCAGTGGTGAATAAAAAATAATGTATCATGATCATGGGAAATTTATGTCAGGAATGCAACACTAATTCAATAATAGAGATCTATCAGTATAATTTACTCCATTCATTGAATAAAGGAGAAAATCAATTACTTCCTTCCATGCCAGCAATCATCAGTCAGAAAATGTATAATGAACTAAGTGATTCTGTACATGGTAGCAACAAATAACATGAAGAACCTTTATGGAAAAGATTGTCAGACCTTTAGTGAATGACAAAAGAAAATATGACTTAATAGATTAAAAAATGTGGATGTAAAATTCAATACCTCCCCCAAATTAGTCTTTATGGTTAATATGATTCCAAAAAAAACCAAAATGATTTTTCATGGAGCTTTTTAAAGGAAATAACACAAAAGAACATGAAGGAAAGGAGAGGAACATTGCATTATCAGTTACCTACAGACCTGTGAATGTAGAACAAGGTGATGAAAAGATTGGCATTTCACATTCACAGGGGAAAGATGGACTGGTTGATAAATACTGTAGAAACAATTCTTGTCAAGGAAAGGAAAACAAAGTGAAGATGCAATATTACTTTCCCACATTTTAAAAAATTCTAGATTGTAAACACCTAAAAATTTTTAAGTTATAAACTATAGAAGTAAAAACTATTGATAAATTGATCATCATTGTGCATGGAAGTACAAGGAAGTTCGTCTTGTTAAGGATGCAGGATTTTTTGGGTGGGGGCAGTACTGGAATTGAACCCATGACCTTCCAGCCTATCTTTATCTTTTATTTTGAGATGAGGTCTTGCTGAGTTGCCCAGGCTGGGCTTGAACTTGCAACCCTTCCGCCTCAGCCTCCCAGAGTGGTGGAATTATAGGTGTAGAGAGCTATGCCCAGCTAGGAATTTTAAGAATAAAAATTTAAAGAGAGAAAAAAGAATCTGACTACATCAAAATTCAAAAATGTTTTGAATTTTAAAATCTAAACAAAATTAAATATCGTGTTACACCCTGAAGAAAAAAAAAATCATTTCACAGGCATAGGACTATAATGTAACCCTAATTGACAAGTTTAAATTTTTCCTCTGTCATTAACAAGAATGGGATTCTGTATACTATACAGAATATAATAAAGAGCCAAAAATTTAAGAAATAGATAAGGACAGGGGGCTGGGGATTTAGCTCAGCGGCAAAGCACCTGCCTGGCAAGTGCAAGGTCGTGAGTTCGGTTCCCGGTACCGGAAAAAAAAAAAAAAAAAAAAAAGAAAAGAAAAGAAATAGATAAGGACATAAAAATTCATCAAATGGTATTGGTAGGTGATATAAAGACTAGAACTTAGAGTACTAGTCTGGTGTGTTTTAGCCTTGCATATAATGTTGTCATTCTTTTACAAGGAGATTATCTTTATGTATTGCGTGTATACATTAAAAAGAATAACATTTTAAAATATTTTAAAGGAGAGAAACAACATACAATCGTTTAAAAAACAGAAGCAGATGGTAGGGTAGGAAATGATGTAGTAGGCAAATGTTAATAAAAGCAAGCAGGTGTAACAAGATTAATATCAGATTCAAAGTACACAATAATAGCAGAGCAAAGGTAGATTATGTGGAGAAAAAGTATAGCATACTAAGAACCCCAAACAATCAGAATCTCTTTGCTTATGTCTGATATGGGGCAGCTCAGGACTTCTGGTGCCTGCACTAGACTGGGATTAGGGGCTTTCTGTCTTCCCTCATCCGTGCAAAGAAATTCAGAGATCCATCCCCACTCTCTTAAATTCACTGCAGATGCGGAGGTAAGAATGTCACCAGAGGTTAAGTCTTATAGGAGCTGGAGCCCCATCTGAATTCCCTCAGCAAAATCTCCCCTCCTCTTTCACAGTAGCTCTTGATGATCCAGACAGAGCTTGAACCAGCACACCACCTTCCCTTTGAAAATATTCTAGTTTAGTAAAGGGGAAGAGAAGCAAAACAGTCAGTATGTTTACAGCTCAATTTGAAAGAAAAAATTATGTGTTCTTTCTTACCTACAGCAACTTGCATCTTCTTAACAAGCTCCCATTCTTGTTAATGACAGAGGAAAAATTTAAACTTGTCAATTAGGGTTACTTAGTTACCTGTCAGTTAGTTCATCATTTGCAGTTTAAAATATTTCCATTCTATTTAATTTGGTGTTTTTACATAAATATTCATTCAATTCAAATTTCAGACTCTTTCAGAGCTGTCTCCTCCCAAGGGTCCCCCTTCCTTCCTGGTGCAGTTTCTCAATACCAGGGGGTTTACAAAGCCTTCCATCAGCAGCAGAAAGAGGGACAGTGTTGGAGCAGCGTAATGTGCTGTGCTCTGGGTCTGCGCTCGTTTTCCATGCTATGTGGCTGTTCTAGGAGGCTCTGGGCATTTTAAGCTTGTGCCCGGAGAGTTGCAACAGTCCTCTGTCTGAGCTTTCTTTTTTTTTTTTTTTTTTTTTCTTTGAGGGGGGTACCCTTACTGCTGGAGTCGGTGGTCTTTCTGTATATCATTATGAGATCCCTATTGGATGTGACTGTCTTATCCCTAACGCAGACTTCTTCTGGACCTGGGGTCTCTTACCAAGGCATGAAAACCTTTGTGATTTCCTGTACTACACAAAGCCACAGGGAACCGTGGTGTAAGTATAGGTCCACCTGCCTGCACACCTCTGGTCACTTAAGCATTAACCCTTGAGTGGCACCATGTTGCCCCAGTACCATTCTGAGCATGGAATGGAAGTGAGGGACCACCCCAGAAGTTCTGGATTCTACCTCAACTCATAAGGGATTATGATGTCAAGTCCTGCTTTCCCATCATAGTCTAAGGGATGAGGGGCATGGTGGGTTCCTACTGAAGGATCCAAACACTCCAGTGGTCTAAGTTTAACCTTTCTAACTATCCTCCTCTCCTTGGCTGTCCCAACTGGAAGAGCACTATACTTCCTCTTTTGATAATGACAACTTTCCACCAAACCCCTAGTTTGCTCTACCTACTGATGCTACACGCCTTGCTATTAATACTTAAGAGATTTTGGGATGTGGAGCTCTCTTTTATTTCCCAACATAGTGTCCAAGATTGCTGTGTAGTGATGGGCTTCAAAAGCTGAGCTAGCATCATTTATCTTTACATTGCTACCATAACAACTGTGATGTCCTTTGGAGCAAAAGGATGCCTCTGGTTGAAAAGGAAATAGCCAGATGGGTTAAAAAAAAAAAGAAAAGAAAAGAAAACATAATAATAATATTTTTAAAAATAGATTATCTCCTTCATGTCAGTTTTTAGTTTAGTTAAAATTAAGTTCTTAGTTCTAATGGTGGAACCAAAGCAGGGTTTTGATTCTTTTTTTCCTGTCTAGCCAACTGAGCCCTTATGAGGGAAAAACACTTATCAAGTATAAAGAAAACCAAAAAAAAGCTTTAATTTGTCTTCTCCAGGCCCCTCGAGTTAGGAAAATCCTGAGGGAGAGGAAGGATTGCAGTTATTCTTGCTGAACTCAAACAGGGGCACAGTAGATGGCCGAGAGTGTCAGCAGGATCTTGTCATCCTGCTGGTCCCCAGGGAGTTCTAGGTCCTCTCATCTCGTCCAGGAAGGGACATTAAATTAGTCAGTAAGATCCAGCAGGGGTCAGCAATGGATTGGACTGGAATGCACTGAGCACCCCAATGGCAATGCTAGAGGCTTTCCTTCTGGGGCTGTTGTTTAGCCAAGGCTTTTATCCGAAACACTAGGTTTTCATGGGCTGGGTTGTGAAATTCAACCATGATTTACTGAGCATTTATGATGTGTCAGGCACTGTCATAGGCATGTCGGGACACACAAGTACACAAAAGATCGCTGAACCTTTGGTTTTATATTTCACAAGGGATATAAGAAATGAGAAATACATGGTATAATATGTTAAGTAGTAGAAGAGATGGAATTAACAAAAACAGAGAAGGCTAAGTGTGTTCAAGAATGCTGGGTGGGAGGGTTAGGACAAGGTAACGAATGGGGTGACCTGGGTTGGCTTCATTGTGCAAATAAGATATGAACAAAGACAGAAGTCAGCCAGCAGATATCTAAGAAGAAAGTGATCCAGGCAGAGGGCACCGCCAAAGAAACAACCCTAGGTGATGAGGTCGAGGAAAACCAAGGAGACTAGCATGACTGGAAGAGATTTGCTGTCAAAAGGAAGAGAGGAATGCCAGACCACATTATATGGATCTTAAAGGCCACTAACATGACTTTGGCTTTTTCTTTAGGTAAAGTGCAGAGCTATTGAAGATTTTGAGCAGAAACCTGATGACGTCTGCTGTAAATTTCAGAGGATCATTCTTAAGAGGTTTAAGCAAGGTCATCTGCTAGGGGGCTGATATCATGGTGGACTGGATCAGGGTTGTTGTAAAGGGGGCTGGTTGGAAGCACACAAAGGCTGGTCAGCATTTTAAAGGCAAAACGGATAGACTTCTCTTAAAGGATTGACCATGGTGCTGAAAAAAAAGACTTGTGTCTCAAAGGTCTGTGGCAACCAAGCAACCAAAATGGAATTGCCATCAGCTGAGGTGAGGAAGGCTAGAATGGGGCAGATTTGTAGAAGAAAAAGCATTACATTTTGGACTTGTTGAGTTTAAGATGTATATTAGATATCCCATGGGAAAATTTGATTAGGCAATGGAATAAATAACTAGAGTTAGAGAAAGAACAAGAAAACAATTGAGTTAACAAGATAGAGATGTTATTTAAAGCTACAAGTGAATCAAATTAAAGAGAGAGTGACTATAAGGGGAAGAAAGGCTAAGACAGATCCTTGGGGTGCTCCAACATGAAGAACCAAAAGGAAGAACCAACAAAGGAGACTGAGGTGGGACCAGTAAGGGAGAAAGAAAACCAAAAGCACGACGTCCTAGGAGCTTACTAAACAAAGCACATCCAGAAGGAAACAGTCCACTTTGTCAGATGCTCACGTTAAATCAAGCAGATTCACAGCTGAGGAGCTGACCATTGGCTTTCACTATTAGGCACTCTTTGGTGAACTTGATAAGCGCAATTGTTTCAGAGTGGTAGGAACAAGTGCCTGACTGCAGTGGATTTAATGGATTTAAGAAAGAATGGGAGGAAAGAAACTAGAGGCCATTAGACTTTTTTTGTAAAGGAATGGAGCAAAAATGGGAAGGAGCAAGATTTTTGTTTTTGCTGTGTTAGGGGGTGGTGGTGGTTGTGGCATGTGTGTGTGTGTGTGTGTGTGTGTGTGTGTGTGTGTGTGTGTGTTTGATACTGGAGATTAAACCCAGGGCCTTCACACTGAGTATATCATCTATCTATCTATCTATCTATCTATCTATATCTATCTATCATCTATCTATTTCAAGGTCTTTGTAGGCTGGGATCAAACTTGAGATTCTTCTGCTTCAGCCTCTCAGAGTGCTAGGATTACTGTGTACCATGCAATATTGGGTCTGATGTTCTGTTCTGTTTTGTTTTGTTTTTAAGATGAGAAAGAAACAGTCTATTTATATGCTAATGAAAATGACCCAAGAGGAAGATTAAAAAGTTGTTAACGTATGACAGAGAGGAAGGAGAACTACAGGAAAAATATCCTTACAGGGGCAAAAATATCCTTGCCCCTTACAGGGGCAATTGAGTTAATCTTCATTTTAGTCCCCTCCCACAGTGAGGCCCAGTGCACATGTGCTATGATTGATTTTGGCCAAAAGCATGGATAGTACATTGTGAAGCAGCTGGAAAAGCATAATACATGGGGACAGCAGAGGTAGGTAGGTAGAAGCAGTGGTGGGAGTTGTGAAAGTTCTTTCTTGATTGCGTAAAATTTTTCAGTCAAGTAGAAAGGAAGGTCATCTACTGAGCCTGAGAATGGAGTGTGGGCTATGAGGATCTGGGGAGAGGAAAAGGTGTGAAAGAGTCATTTAGGAGCCAGGGAGAGTAAAGGACTAGGGCACATGTGATTGTCAGCCAGCATTAAGTATTCACTTGAGACTACTGATGATGAATTTAAAATGACACCAGCCTCTCTCTCTCTCTCCCTCTCTCTTTCTCTCTCTCCCTCTCTCTTTCTCTCTTTGTCTCTGTCTCTCTCTCTCTCTGTGTGTGTGTGTGTGTGTGTGTGTGTGTGTGTACAGACATCAGTCTCATTTTGATGCAGGAGCTTAGATATCCACTGACCAGAGAAATTGAGTTAATCTGCATTTTAGTCCAGTGAAACAGAAGTGAGGGGCAACCGAGCCAAGGAAAGGTACATGAATGGGAAGACTCCTCATGATGGACTATGGAGTGAGTGGGGCGAAAGGGGAGTGAAAACACTATGGTTTGGAAGGACAGCAAATAAATTATTGGCACAAATGGAAGGACATCTATGTGCTTTGTGGGAGCCAGTTTATTGCTTTAAATAATGAACCTAAATGTCCTTTTTATCTCTGACACAAACTTTATCTTCTGTAATTACCTGATGTGATTTTTGGTGAAGAAGAAACAAGTATATCGTTTGATTGCTTAGTTTAATTGTAGAATATAAAAAACTTGCTAGTGTTAGAGAGTAAATTAGAAAGACAAGAGAAGACAAATGGAGAGGTGGGAACGTAAAATTAAGATTTTGGCGAGGTTGGAGCTCCAAGTAATGACAAGATCTAAATTATGTCCATGGAAGTGAGTGGTTAACCTGGTGGAGAAGATTATTGGAGGAGAGAAGGTGAGGAATTGAGAGGCCTGGCTCATTTACTTGTATATGACCTTCACCAAGGTTAAGGAAGGGGTAATAATGGCAAGGGAGGTAATAAGCCAGGAGGTCAAATTATTGGATATATGAGAGAATGATCCACTGATATGCTTAAAAGTAAGTCACAAATTGAATCTTATAATCAAAACATATCATTTATACCTTAAATTTACCTATTGCAATGTAACAAAACAAAATATTGCTATAGTGTAATATTTGCTTGAATGGGTCCAAGTCCAACAAGGAGAGGTTTCCCTAGGGAAAACCCAAAGGGGCAAGAAGAGATTCTCTGCTTCTTAGTTTTGTTTTTTCTTCTAGTAACATGTAATGATTCACACATCCCATGTATCATTCTTTTAATTGCCACCAAATGTTTTATTTATTTGCAAAAACTTTACATCAGGTAGTACAGAAGCATGGATTGTGCCAAAACCAAAGGGTATTACGTATTGATATCTTCAAAGTGGTTTCTCAGGAAAACAAATAGAGACATGCAAGACTGATCAAACAAGTAATCAATACGTAATACAACAACAATTGTTAATTTCCTACACCTTTGTCTGTAACTCTGTATTGTTTGTATTGTTCTTCTGCTGTTTTGTAAATGGGTGTCTGTTCGTTATATGTTTTCCTTGTTTTGTTTTTAAAATAAATTTTTAAAAAATTCTCAACTTAAAACAAAAAAACCAAAGGGCAACATTGTGCTAGTCCTTTGAGCAGTAAACCGGTTCTCTCAAGCACAACAAACCCTTCCATTTGCTTCAGTAATTTATTTATGTCTTCACTTTTTTGAAGGAGATTCAGATTCATTCCCCCATTAAAGCCTGCTTGACATTACAGTAGCACCTTAGCTACTTGAGTCTAATAATCGAAATTCTAAAATAATGAATGATGGAACATTCATCTTCCCCAGTGAATTCAAGATTAGATAGTAGAAGGAAAACATCCATGGAGAGCTTAGAAATGTTGACTTCTGACTCCGAAATTATATACTGCATCTTTTTCCTTACACTGCTAATACCTCATGATTTCTTTTCCCATCACCATTTTTAACGGTGAGTGGAGCATTTTGATCTGCTTTATACCTACAGTGACTGGGACAGCCTGGGTCCTGTACTCCACTTTGGTGATATTAATATCTATGACAAGCCCTCTTGTCTTGTTGCCCAGGAGACCTTAGACACATGGGGAGTCACTGTGATAGTGTTCATACTGTGGCACATCCAGATACAGTTCCTGTGATCTCAGGGTGGTTTTTGTTCCAGAGTAATAGAAAGTAGACATACCTTCCCATCTTCCCATGTGTTTGTGTAGATAAAGCACAAAACACTTTCCCCAGCCAACAAATAGCTTAATGGGTTTCGAGTGATTGACAAGGGCACAAAGCTATTCCCATAGGGTATTTGTGAAATGCTTCCTTATTCCCTCCTGAAGGTTGTACAGGGCTGGGATGGAAACATCTCAGCATCCACTTTTTGTATCTCGGTGGAGACACAAAGCATAAAGCGCCAGGCATGGTGGCACATGCCTGTAATTCCAGCACTCTAGGAGGTTGAAGCAGGAGGATCATAAATTCGAGTCCATCCTGGCAACTTAGCAATTTACCAAGATCTTGTCTCAAAATAAAAAAATAAAAGGGTGAGGCTGGGATTATAACTCAGTTCAAAGGTCTTGGGTTCAATTGCTAGTACAGGGGGGAAAAAAAGCTCAAAGCAATTTATTGACTGAGGAGCCACAGGTTACCCTTTCTAATATTGCTCAGAATAGTCCTCAGGCATTGAGAATCCCACCTCAAAACTTCTTTTTGTGCAAGTCTCTTTAGTCGCTTGAGTACACTTAGGGGACTGTGCTCACAGAGAGTAAAGGAAAGTCATGCTTTAGTTTCATTTAATGCCATTGATCAGGCAGTTTGGCACCAAGAAGCAAAGAAAACATTCTCAAAGGATTTTTCTAGCCATCCCAGGTTGCAGGCCATAGTAATGGCCTTCTAGGGCCAAAGTTTTCTGCTGCCTGGCCCACTGGGCTGCTGGGTACATGCCCATCTGTGCTGCTGTCTTAACTGCTCTGAAAGGCCACCCTACTGCACCTGGCCCTGTGGTGCTGCTAACACAGACCACTTTTTACTTTGAGTTTCTGTGGAAGAAGGGAGAATGCAGCATCTTTGTTTCACACTGACCTTCCATGGTCCACAGCCTGAACCTTCAAGCAAATTTAAGTTTGGTATTAAGGGTATCAGGCCAGTCTTATTATTTGCCAGTTGGAAAACTGGAGCATAATTATTACTAGCTGCCAGCATTTTACACTCGCAACTGTAACTGTTTGACTTCTTTTACATGACAGAACGAAGGCCATGAATGTGATCTTAAAGGTCGATCCCATTAGTATTTAAGAGGGCACCCCTTGGCCATATCAGAGAGCCAAACTAGGATTTGAATCAGTGGAAAGGACATATTAGAAGCTTCTATCCCCCTGGTGAAAATGGTACCTATGTTGAAATTCTTCATTTTGCTGAAGGGGCTGTGTTATATATAATTGTTTTTGGCTTGCAAGCAGCAGAAACTCCTACTGTAACTTAATTGTTAGAGGTTTCTTTCTTTTTCTTTTCTTTTTTTAATTTTTTTTATTTTTATTTTTGAGACAGTC